CTAGTGCAAAACGTGTTCAACCTCTTCTCCACAAACAGAAGGCCCATTTTAGTCTATGTGTAAGTGCAAACCTTTTATTTTTGCTTCCCCCACCTGTATGGTCTCATGCTTGACTGTCATTTCTGCACTTTTGAATAACTGTGTTCTTCTAAATGGAAGCAAATTCGAATCCCTCCCTGGAGCAAAAAGTCTTCTAAAAAAACCCTCTTTGTGACATGAATGCTTAAATACCCCTAAAAGCATGATCAAAGCAAGAAATGCTTCGAGAAAGACTAAGATAATGACCTAATTAATATACCTCTGGTTTTATGGTTATGTGTCGTGGGAATTGTTAACAGTGTGTTGTTTTTTCCCCCCACATATACAATTGAAAAGAAAGTTGTGGTACAAAGGCTTTGATCTATCATTATTGGGTAACGATAAATCACTATTTAGATTAAAACCTACATTCTATAATTATATATCCGCTGTATACCCATAAGGCATTTAAAAGGGCCTTGCGTAAATATTACATCAAAGATGGGTACAAATCCTAATGTGCAATGTCTGCTTTGCTTTAACAAGCCGGGCGGTGTGGGCGGCTCTTGCGGGTGGAGCAGGTGATGCACGCTTGCAGTCGGCTCTGAGCGAGAGCCCCAGACACAATGGAGACTCACGTGAGAGCAGTCAAAGAGAAGTGCCGGGTCGGCACAGTAATTCACCGCCACCTCAGTGCGCTCTGTTCCTGGCGGCCCAATGCGGTCTCACGCGGCACGTTTTAAAGTCGCCTAAAAAAGGACTCCTGCTGCTGGTATCTTGTAGTTTCAGAGACTCGGTTTCACTTTGACGCACCTGAGAGGTGGTTGAAACTCTTCATCGGGCGCCCCAGGCTCCGTTCCTGGGGGGCCTTGTTCTAACTTGAGGCATCAATTAATCAACCTAATTAGTTTCTAAATTAGACATATATACTGTATATAATTTTTTTTTATTAAAATGTCTTTACCCAAGACATTTAATAAATTAAAAGAACAGTTACCTACAATTCACATAAGACCTGGTGATACAGGATACAATAGATACTGGACAGAAGCATAACAGTTATAATAATAATAATAATAATAATAATAATAATTCCTTACACTTATATAGTGCTTTTCTTGACACTCCACTCAAAGCACTTTACAGGTGAAGGGGACTCCCCTTTCACCACCTAGGATTTTTAATGACCACAGAGAGTTGGGACCTCGGTTTTATGTCACATATGAAGGATGGCATTTTTTTTTTACAGAATAGTGTCCCCGTCACTATAGTGGGCATTAGGATCCACGTAGACTGCAGGGTGAGCGCCCCCTGCTGGCTCCACTAACACCTCTTCCAGCAGCAACCTTAGTTTTTCCTTTCCAGGTACTGACCAGGTTCACACCTGCTTAGCTTCAGTGGGTTCCCAGTTGTAAGTTGTACAGTGATATGGCTGCTGGCACAAAGGCTCTATGGCTTATGCAGCTTTTTTAAAAATAAGAGTAACTATATAACTAAGAATGCAGTTGGAAAAAGCACCAGAAGGAACCAGGCCCTCCAGGAACGGAGTTTAACCCCCCTGCTCTTCACAGCCAGAAGGAACTACAGACCACTTCAGCTCACAAGACAATGATGTCTCGACTCCTCAATTTGATTCATACTGCAGTTAAGAAACCCAGGCTAACTGCTTCCTGTCACCGTGCTGCATAGAGTTTATATGGATTTAATGACTGGGGTTTCCGAAGACTGGGATGAGCCAAAAATGTTTTGAAAAACTTTGTAAAATAAACAATAGAGGCTAACAACACATTGTTAGCCTCACTTAGAACTCCTGACAAAAAGTATCATAGACAACCTACTCACTGTCCTGCAAAATGCAGCATTCACTAGTCCCCAGATCAACCCCTTAGTTGCTCAGCAAAATACACAACATACTAAGGAATACTCACAAGATCAAATCATTCATATACTTAACTATAACAAGCTGTTACAATAATGGCTTGAGATCCTGGAATATTATTACAAACTTGAGTGGCTAGGTGATTTGTTGTGGGCATTGTTAAGAAATCAGTTTTTTATCCCATCAATGCCTTTCAAGGAAATGGGTGATTTGCCCACTAAAATAACACTTTGTCAGAGAGTTCAGTTATAGGACTGGAGCTACGATGGTCTCATTCAGCCAGCTATATTGTAACTCTCTCTAGACTAAATCGGCATATAGATGAAACAGGGAAAAGGTGGGCATGTATATGAAACACCAATTGCATGCTGAAGGGAAAAGAAAACAAACACTACGTTTCGGCTCTGAAGCCTTTTCCACAACCTGAAGAAGGGTCCGCAGCCGGAACGTAAAATTCCCTTTTTCCTCTCCTTTCAGCATGGAAAAAACCTTTACCTGTTCCTTTGCAGCCTGGGCATTCTGACGCAGCTCCCCACTCGAACGCTGTCAGTTGAATATCTATGAAACGTGCTCGTATCGCAATTCACTCAGAACCACTGACATAACGCTATGCAGAGCTGGAGGCCCAATATCTCTGCACTATCAGCGTAATGTTCTACAAAATGAGGTATATAAACCCTAGTTGGGGTTATACATATTAAAAATGTAACCCAAAGGTCTATTCCATGTATTATAGGTTTTAAGTATTGCGATGATTCAGGATTTTGAAATATAGTGAAATGGCCGAATTCCACACACTGCTAGTTCACGCCGTGCAGATACAGTATATGAAGTCTTTCCCTGGGCGGAGGGTTGGACTAACGTTTCCCATCTGCTTATCACTTCACGCTACACCGTTGTTTCAATGAACCCGACACTACGGAGTCTGGTGTTAATCACGCGAACTACATTATTTGACAATTAAATGACGCTTCTCATTGTGATGGCGTGTAATGGACATTTTCTGCACACAAAAACCTTGAGGAACACGTTTTAAATAGTAGTTGAATGGGACAAGAAGAGAGGTGATCAATGTTAGGTAAAACTTAAAAAAAGCGACTAAAAACCTAAAAAGCGACTGCTCCAGTCATATTTCAGATACTTCAATAAATAAAAACAAAATGAATCAAGAGTAATCAATATACCTGTCAGCTGAGAAGTCGATCCACCCTTCCTTTTTTTTAACACGTTCACTATAATTTTGGATGCTAACAGTTTAAAACAGCATCATTTAATTATCCAAAAACATACAATTTCCAACCCGCCTCTGCACCTCTTCGAAAACTTCAATGGTGTCGCATATGTGACGTCATCGGGAACGGCCCTCTCGGTGCGCTCTGAGTCTGCGCACTATAGCGCCATCTTTCTCTCCCCGGCTTTCTCTCTCCCTTTGAGAACACGTTGTACTAAAAAGGGAGAAAAAAAGCCCAACACACAAACCAACTTCAAAAGGCTGAGAGGTCGGAAATAATCAAGCACTGGGAGGCTGTCGGGGGGTGAGTTTTTGTAATATACAGCGTTGATGTTCGTTTTGTGTTTCAATTATCTGAAATCGGATGAAGTTTTAATGGCTGTGGTGCTGTGTGAGTTGAATCACTCGGCCCATGTGTGCATTTGGTTCTGAGGATCGGGCTGCACGGCCTTCATGGTAGATTTTTTTACAAAACGGAATAAGGAGTGTAATCTTGATTCTTCATCGTGGGGGTATACTCACTAGGAATGTCGCAATCATAGCTGATGCTGTCTCTTTTGGAGACTAATGACCTGTGTGAAAACTAGGGGCCTCCATCAAAATGGTACTGTCGTCATCATTCAAATCGTTCACTTTGTCGTATGTTAGACTGCTAGCTGGGTTTTTTGTATTTTAGTTAAGAACATTATTTTCTGAAAATGACACACATTTGGTTAGTATAGGTAATTAGCTAGCTGTCTCAACTCCAGTGCCTTTTGTTTTTTTAATATTTTGCCCAGGTATAATCTCTTGTTTTTTGTAATAAAAATTAGGATGTTTTCCCAACTCTCGTTGGTGGCACGGCAATGTTGTATTGATGTGATGAAAAATTGCTCTTCCTCCGCAATACATTACGTTATTTTTCGAATGCACGTCAACGTATTCATATCTGACTAATAAAAAACGTATATACCACGATTAATGTGGTGTGTTCAGCTAGTTCTGAAATGTATTTGTGACTCCCGTCTCATTCGGAGCCACAGGGGCATTTGGAAAAGGGGTGTTGGTAAGGCGGTGTACAAGTCTGACAGCGTCTTTTATCTCTCGGTAGTGTGGGAGTAGCCTTCCATCATTTGAAAAACAGAATCTGTTCTGCCAGACAGTCAGAAGAGGCAGGCAGAATGTCTGAGAAGCCAACGAGAATCGCCATCGTAAACCACGACAAGTGCAAGCCCAAGAAATGCAGGCAGGAGTGCAAGAAGAGCTGCCCAGTCGTTCGGATGGGTAAGTGTCGTCACGAGCTGCCGATATTAAGCAGTGGCTTTCTGCTATCCTGGCTGTCAAAGATTAGTGTGGATTAAGGGACACAATAATCATTACTCTAATAATTCCGTGCAGTTATGTAGCATTTGTCATCCCCCAGGATCCCAGAGTGGATCTCTTATGTGTAGCAAGGGCCTACTTCATCCAGGTCTTGAAGAGAGGCACCCATGCAGGTGACATAGAGGAGCCAGTATGCTCCTGCAGCCACACTACACAGCAGAACAGGCAGAGAAGTGAGATGTTACTTCACCATTTGAATTAAAGGGAGACTTGATGTGGACCAGACCTTGAGTAGAATTTAGCCAGACCACCGGGGTTGATAACCCTTCTCTTATAACAATATTTAGTGACCAGATAGCCAGGATCTCACTTTGAGGATTCCTTTGAAGGACCGCACCTCCTACAACACTAGTGTCCTTATATCACCCATCCTAAGCCATTGGTTTCTAAACCCTTCTCCAGGACCAACCTTTCTTTCATGTCTGAAACCTAGCAGTGTCAGACTGGAAGGTGGTCTTGGTGGTGTCCAGCACATTACTGAAGTCAAACAGTGTTTTCCGCATCTTAAGTCCAGTGGTCACTTGTCTGAAGTTACTGTGGGAACTTCCAAAAACACATTTTGTTTTTATTTTTTCTGACAAAGGTATATCTAACTTCAATTAAGCCTGCACAGTGTTTGGAAGATGGGGAATTAGACTGATTCTTGCATTCAGGAATGTGAGCCACATTAACGGGCTATGTTAGTGCTGTGTGCACTCGAAAGAATATGTATGACACAGTAAAACTCTCCAGTCATATGTCATGACAGTGCTCGTTGAAAGTCTTAGCCGACCTATTGTTAATTTGTAATTACTTTTCAGATTGAGCATTTATTTTTCCACTTGGAGGTCATGCATTACAATGTGTAAATAAAAGTAATTTAATTTGTCTTGATTTCAGGCTGTTAGGCCAGAAAATGTTTTGCTTTGGAAATAGTGTATAGACTTTCTCTAGGTTTGTATTTATTCTTTAACTTGTTTTCCACAATCCTTTCTTAGCATGTTTAACCTGTACATTAGGATCATATTTCATCTAAAAACACAAATTGGGATTACTGGATTTCTATGAACAGCATACATTATATTATTTTTTTATCCACAAACTATTTTAAGAGTTCATCTTAGTGTGTTGTAAATCTGCACACTAGATTTTGCAGCAAAATAATGATTGCTCTCGTGGTCTGCAGGCCCAAGATTTTTATGTGCTTTTATTGTCTTTGTTTTAGGTAAACTATGCATAGAAGTCACATCACAGAGCAAAATTGCGTGGATCTCAGAGTCTTTGTGCATCGGATGTGGTATCTGCATCAAAGTAAGTACCTGTTTTCTGTTGACTTTTTCTGATAGGAAAAACATGCTAAATGTTTAGAATTAGTGTCACACTAGAAGCTGTAGTCTCTAGTCTGACAATAGCCTGGCTTCTAAACTTGGATGTGTTTTTCAGAAATGCCCTTTTGGGGCTCTGTCCATCGTAAACCTGCCGAGCAACCTGGAGAAAGAGACAACCCACAGATACTGTGCCAACTCCTTCAAGCTTCACAGGTACACAACTTCAGTGCCAGGAATAATTTTTAAAGCCTCTGAATTATATCCTAAATATTCATGGTATTTTGCTTGACATCATACCTAAATGAATCGATGATTGAGTGTTTTCCAAAGCAGATATTGGCAAATGTTTTCTCTTTTGATTTCTGAGTAGAAACATTCAGTAGGTTTTTGTGTTTCAGTTTATTTTAAGGGCTGCTTTGGCTCTTGGTGTTTACCATTCATTCATCCTGTGAATCCACTCTGGGGAAATGTAGCATGAATTAGTCATGCAATATGTCAGGTGCTGCCACGTATGGCCTCTCACTTTTTGTCTATCTTCCAGGTTGCCTATTCCTCGACCTGGTGAGGTTTTGGGGCTGGTTGGCACTAATGGTATTGGGAAGTCAACGGCTCTGAAGATCTTAGCAGGAAAACAGAAACCAAACTTGGGAAAGTATGATGTGAGTCCTGTTATTAATTTACTTGTTTTTCTCTTGTTTCTCGGTGTGGAGATCTTGTTTTCTTTTTTTTTTCCTTTCCATGGATTCAGTTAATTTGCTTTAGCCATTACATTCAAACATTTAAGTGTATTGCCAGCAATGTTGGATTCATAAATGTTCAGTACGTTTCTGTACATTGGCATTATAGGCCAATGTACCCATAACTAGATGTGGTTAAGGTTTGGAAACGGGTTACCCTCAGTTTTAAATAAGGATATTCCTTACTCTCATCTGGTTCCCTGGCTCCATGGTAATTCTGTTCTTGGCGTCTCGCAGAGGCAGAAATACAATAGGTGGCTGGTCTCACCACAGCTGAAAACATACCAGTGATGCATTGAGATCCTCCACAGGCCCTCCCCTGGCATAACTGGATCTTGTCCAGTCTTGATAAGATGGGTTTCTACTGATTGGAAGACATGGCATGGGCTGGGAGTGCTTCTGCTCTCATGGTCCAATCCTACCAGAGCTGTCTAACACTTGTTTAGGGGTCTTCTGGTTGGAAATATTGAAGGGGATACATTGGGGGGGAGTAGGAGATGTTGTATTATTGCTTTATACTGTTGGTTTTTGCTTTTTTTAAATAGAAAATTGGCTTAAAAAAAGATTTCTCTATATTTTTTAATTTTGGCATGTAGGTAAATAAGAACACCTGCAGCTGATTAAATTTTTGTACACTTATGTGCATTTTAATGTTATGACTAATCAGTATCTTGACTCTCACAAAAAGACACAACACAAATGTGTCTTGAAAGAAGATATTGAAGTTAAATGCTGGGATCTACAGTATGTAAGCATATTCATGAAACCTGTAATTTTAAACAAAGGCTTACCATTTCCTCTCTTATTAGAAGAGTGTATCCAGAGCAGGGTGTATTCTATATTATCACCTTGCTTTGCACCCATTGCCTGCTGGGATAGGCTCCGGCTCTCCCGCACCCCAGTGTTGGATAAAGCGGTCAGAAAGTGGATGGCTGGACTTCAAACATTTTCACTTTTGACACTTCAGATTATCCATTTTACCTTTTAATACCTGGGTAACAAACAGAATCACACCTCATTGAGGCTCTTTGTGACTTTTTTGCCGTTTTAATTTCATTTCCTTTTGCCCAAAGGCTCCTCCAGACTGGCAGGAAATCTTGACCTACTTCCGAGGTTCTGAGCTGCAGAACTATTTCACCAAGATTCTGGAGGACGACTTGAAGGCTATTGTGAAACCCCAGTATGTGGACCAGATCCCAAAAACAGTGAAGGTGTGTTTTACTGCAGATGTGCTACAATGCAATGAAATGAAGCCTTGTCCACTCTCAAAATATGCACAACTGAAGGGCATAAATCACACTGACGCTCTTGTGGTAACTGCTCACGGTCTCTTGGTCACAAGGAAGCCCCTTTCCACCCGCAAATTACAAACTGAAAACTTAATGGCAGATTTCCATTAGCTTAGAAAAGAAAATGAGAAAATGGGCCGCTATCACGTTCCACATTGTGATTGGTTTCTGAGTAAATAATCAGGGCTTCCGTTTTAGGCCATATAAAGGAAATGCAAGAGCTTGCCTTTGTGCACTGGTCAAGAGACAAAACGCTGTGCATTGAGATTCACAAAAAGAATGGCACTGCTTTTGCAAAATTAAGCCCTGAGCTGGAACTGAGAGGTGCTGGAATGTCATTATCTGTGCCAGTAAACCTAGTCACTTGAGATTTTCACCAGTTTGTTTATCTTTTGGTTTTCTTTCAACAGGGGACTGTGGGATCCATCCTGAGCAGGAAAGATGATACGAAGTCAGAGGATATTGTTTGTGACCAGCTTGGTATGTGCGTTTATTCACTTCATTTACTTGTGTGTTTGTTACCCATTCATTTGCACCTTTGTAAAAACAGTTTGCATAGCTCTTTCATATTTTATTAGAATATTTGCTGTAGACTTTGAATATACATGTGGAATCGCATTTCTTGGAGTGTTAGCAAGCACTGAATAGTGTTTAGTTCCAAACTGTTTTTTAATGTTATGCAGCTTACTGTTGCTGTATTTTGTTCCGAGCTCCTGTGAATCATCTTGTACACATTTGTTTATTATATAAGCCTTTTAAGAACTCTTTTTTTTTTTCCAGTATGGTCCAAAAATCGAATGCCCTTTGCCCTTGGTATTTTTGGTAAACTTAAAAGGCGGTTGTTTAAAAGCCATATTTAAAAATAAAATTTGTTGCTTTTCTGTTGGTTGGTGCAGTCAGATTTGATATCCATATAATTAAGTGTTTTATTCTGGTGTTTTCATCAAATAGCTTGATAGTTGTCCTTTTTGGAGTAAGGGTGCCTTTTATTATGTTATATTGATTTATTCCTGACTATCCGAGGAATAAACTGTGATTTAAGCAGCCTTGGAGAATTTGAATGTTCTTTATTTTTTCCTGAAAGACCTGACCCATCTCAGAGACAGGAATGTGGAGGACCTGTCCGGAGGAGAGCTGCAGCGTTTTGCCTGCGCCGTGGTGTGTATCCAGAGAGCTGACATGTAAGTCATCGTCTTCTTCCCTCGCCTTTCCTGAGCTCGGTCTTTGGACTTGAGCTGGTTTGCCCAGGAAGGCGCAGATAGATAAATAAGAACACCTGCAGCTGTGCAGGAGGGTGCCATACTCAGGGTGCTGTTCTCCCCTTGGTGACGCCTGCAGTGGTTTTATATGGTGGTAAAACAGGCTAACGCGAGATTATGCCATTTGTCCCACTGTTCTTTTTGAATCAAAGCTGGCTTGATTTTCTTTCCACTGCCACTGACTGCTAGGCTGCACATTTCACAGTTACAGCATGTTTGATGAGACTAGAACCACATGAGCTGAGACATTTTCAGCTTCAATGAGGTAAACACAGATGAGGAGAGAACAGCAAAGATCTCCAGACATGCTCAGTTGTGTGATCCCAAATACATTTTGTATTAAGATGTCAGGTTTAAAAAAAAAAAGTGGAATTCCATTGTTGCTTATACTGAGAAATTCACTGTCACTGGAGTTCTAAAGCTTACTATGTCTAGTCTGTGTGTAAAACCGAAATTTATCACAACATTCACAAAAAATAACTATTGCTGTCCTACAAAACAAATTATCTAAAAAATCGTTGACCTAGAAAGGATATTGAGGTAGTACCACTAAAATCAAATTCTGAAAAGTTCTCCTAATGCTCTGTCCATTCTGTACTGAGTGAGCAGTACCATGTAGTCTAAAGACAGAGATACCACATTGTGCCTGACTAGATCTTTACTTGTAAAGAATAACGTATTTAGATAAGACAGCATAAAATATCATTCGGAACTATCCGCGGCACATGCATGTTCTTGTGAAGTTGACATTTATGGATATTTTTTTCCCCGTTTCCCATCACTACCTTCTGCTCAAACAAACTCAAACCCAGACTTTTGTTCTTGCAGTTTCATGTTTGATGAGCCGTCCAGTTACTTGGATGTGAAGCAGCGTCTCAAGGCTGCTATCACCATTCGATCCCTCATTACCCCGGACAGGTGAGTTACTGCAGCTTCAGAGATGCAGGTCTGGGACCAGTCTGCTACACCATGTTGAAAGGTTATCAATCAATGAATGTGGTGGCAATCTACAAGTGATTCTTTTCTCTTTCTTTACAGATATATTATAGTAGTAGAGCATGACTTGAGCGTGCTGGACTACCTGTCTGACTTCATCTGTTGCCTGTATGGAGTGCCGAGTGCATACGGAGTGGTCACGATGCCTTTCAGCGTTCGAGAAGGTTCGGCCTCAGTATATTAATGTGTTTATCCAGTGCGATAGTAGATCATTGTGTTTTTCTTACACGGATCCTTGTTGAGCAGTGCATCTATCCTCAAGTATCCTGCCTGTTCATGATTGTCTAAAGTCCAAAACATTAGTAGCATCTTTTTTTCTTCAATATGTTTTATTACGAATCGCATGTGGATTTCAAAAACGCAGACCTCAGTCCTCAAGTGAAGGTATGGTTCTGAATGAGTGGTAGTGAAGAGGCGAACTGAAGGGCGAACACGTCATTTTCCTTCTCTAGGGATCAACATCTTTCTGGATGGGTACGTGCCCACCGAGAATCTGCGCTTCCGGGAAACATCTCTGGTGTTCAAGGTGGCAGAAACCGCCAACGAGGAAGAGATTAAGAAAATGTGCCGCTACCAGTACCCCCACATGAAGAAGGCCATGGGCGACTTCCAGCTGGAGATCGTGGAGGGCGAGTTCACGGACTCGGAGATCATGGTCATGTTGGGGGAGAACGGTGAGTGCCCACCAACCGCTCCCTGAGGGGATTCTTTAGTGCTTTATGAAGAAGAACAACAGCATGCTTCAGGCTTTAGAGGCTTCTAATCTCGAAGACATTCCTGCCGTTCGTTATTCTCCGTTCTGGCCTATTTCAGTAAATGCTGATCTTGGTAAGCGGCCTTTTCACACTGAATTAATTGCCCTGAACTCTTCCTCTCCCACATCATCCTGCTAACTCTCATTTGTTGTATTGATGTATTGTCTGTCATTTGATATCACTAGGCACCTGAGTGACTTGTAGTTAAATGGACAAGTCTGATCAAATTTAAAT